ACACACACACTCACACACACACACTCACACACTCACACACTCACACACACACACACACACACACGCACACACACACACACGCACGCACACACACACACTCACACACACACACACACACACACACACACACACACACACACTCACACACACACACACACACACACACACACGCGCACACACACACACACACACTCACACACACACACTCACACACACACACTCACACACTCACACACTCACACACACACACACACACACACGCACACACACACACACGCACGCACACACACACACACACACGCACACACACACACACACACACACACACACACGCGCACACACACACACACACACACACGCACGCACACACACACACACACACACACACGCACACACACACACACACACACACGCACACACGCACACACACACACACACGCACGCACACACACACACACACACACACACGCACACACACACACACACACACACACACACACACGCACACACACACACTCACACACACAGCAGGATGACATCAGCAGCAGCAGGAGGTCAAGGGTCAGACAATGAGTCTGGACCATCACTGAGGAGCAGCTGATGAAGACGTCACCCTGGTAACGTTATCAGACGGCAGGTCTGTGTCCTGCCCCAGTGCATCATGGGTAGACACTCAGGGTCTGTCTGCATTTAGATGATAAAAGCTGTTTCATTTCGTCATTTCCTCCCGAGGCCGCTCATCATTGGTCTATTTTTTTCCCCACGAATGTAAATGTCTTAAGAATCAGAATCAGAAGTTTATTTATGGTCCTTAAATACACGTTAACATGAATCCAACATATCGAAGCGAGGAGATAAATCGATGGAGAAGACGTCATCTGTCAGCTTCCCTCAGCAGCTCTCAAGCTGCTCACCGGTTCCCTCACTGCTCCTTTCATGCTGATACGACATCACAGGAACCAGCCAATCAGATCCATTCATGCTCACGTCTAAAGAGCGTGAAGCTCAAAAAGAAAAGATGGCGGACCAAACTCCGTAGGATAGGGGGTCCCTGCTCCATCGCCATCAGTTTGGGGGACCTTGGCTTGAAAAACGTTGAAGACCTCTGGTTTAGACTTTTGTCAACATTTTAAAGTTTAAATGGTGTCAGTAGATTGGCGAAGCAGAAAATGTAAAAGTTTAAAAGCTTTTGAAAATAAACTCTCCTGGAAGAGCTGAATATTTAATAGCTGAAAGTGTGAAGGAGTTGAAAGGTGCCACAGAAGAAACAGGCTGCAGCGTGTCCTCCGCTCTGCAGAGAGGCTGATCGGCTGCAATCTGCCGTCCCTGCAGGACTTGTTCCGTTCAGGTCTCTGAAGCAGCTAAAGTGTAGGAACCTTGGATGCAGCTGTGGGGCCTGATACCTGATTCGATGGCTTCTCTTCCATCACCTTGGTCAACTGACTTCTCACCCTCCCTGATGCTAAACTGAGACGAAGTTCAGCGCCTTCGAAGTCTGTCGCGTGATACAGTTTCTCTGTATGGAATTGCTCTGGTTTCCATCAGCACCGTCATGAAACTTGGAGTTCTCTTCGGATTCTATCTGATGGTGGTTCTATCTGATGGTGGTTCTACGTGATGGTGGTTCCATCTGATGGTGGTTCTATCTGATGGTGGTTCTATCTGATGGTGGTTCTATCTGATGGTGGTTCTACGTGATGGTGGTTCCATCTGATGGTGGTTCTACGTGATGGTGGTTCTACGTGATGGTGGTTCCATCTGATGGTGGTTCTACGTGATGGTGGTGGTCCTGCAGTGGTCCTGCTTACTACTCACAATGATTTGAATCATCTCTGTCGTATGAACTGAATGTGTTGTTCATCTTCTACATTGTTCATTGTGTCCTCATGACATCATTGTAGTCTGTCCATCAGGAGACGGATCCTCTGACTCTCACTGAGGTTTCTTCTCCTTTTCTCCTCATGGAAGTTGGTTTTGGTTTTGTGCATCCACGTCCTCTTGTTGTTATCACGTGTTTCTTAGTGCTGCTTCAGATGAATATGAACTGGTTCCACTGGTTTCATGTGTAATGTGTGAGTGAGACCAGCAGGGGGCGATGTGAGACAGTTCACCAGAGCATCACTCCACTCACCTCACCAAGGGTTAGTAAAGTACAACACGTAGAAGTATCAGAGTCTGAGCCAGTCAGAGACAGACAGACGGACAGACACAGACAGACAGACAGACAGACGGACAGACAGACAGGTAGATGTAGAGTTCTGTCTCCAGTGAAACAAAGACACTTTTCGTTCAGTCTGAACTGAAAGCTGAAACCAGTAGAACCAGTGGACTTAATACTAACCCAATAGAACCAGTAGAACCAGTCAAACCAGTAGAACCATTAAAGCCACTTGAACCACCAGAGCCATTAGAACCAGCAGAACTGTGTTTTACTTCTTTGAGCAGAAACATTTCAGGTCTGAGTGCAGCTTTGATTTAAATGTTGATTTATACGATCAATTAATAAATAGGACGCTTAAAAGTCTGCAAAGCGCATTACAAAGAAAAATGTACTTTACAAAAGTGTTTACAGCTGAGAACCAATGAAAGAGAAGGTAAATATAAGTGATTAAGAACAAACTGATTTCCATGTTTCTAAAAACAGGAATACTGCTATTAAGTGTTTGAGGATAGAACAACAATATTCAAAGTATTCAATCATATTATTCACATAAAGGCTACAAATCTGAATGTCCACATGGACGATTTAAAACGCTTTGCTCGTGGTTTCGTGTGTTTGATTACATTCCATCACATTTAGCTGACGCTTTTATCCAAAGCGCTCATTGGATAATTCACCTTATTGAGGATAATTGAAGTGTTGTGTACACGTGACACCCTGAGATCATCCTCCGTCTCTCTACTTTGTCATTCGTGATGTTGGGCTATTCAAAATGAAATGAATGGAATGTTTCTTTGTGGGTAAATTAAATTCATATAATTGACATTGTAAAGACAGAGATCCCCTGATGAATATTTTATTCCCACAGTAATCATTAAATAAGTCATTGATGTTATTGAAGGACCTCGGACCTGTTTATGTAATGATTCTTTTCAAAAAGGTCGATTAGGATTATAATATTGAATTAATAATCGGTGTAGATAAGTTTTGGAGACAAAATTCCTCGTGATTGCTCATAAAGTAACATGGAGACAACATATGGATTATATTAATGGTCAGTAATACTGTATGAATCTAGAGGTGTATTAACTGAGGCCTTGCATATCCTCTATTACTCCCTTATACTTTCTTATATATCATATTGTCTGGAGGTCTGGGGGCCACCTATAAACTCTCATAAATATACGTGTATATAATGAAATGAACGATGGCTGGTTTATCAATCATTAACCATTATTTATCAAATCTCATGTCATGAAATTGAATGATTTGATTTATTATAAAATGATGCAAACAAAGTCATTCGTGGTTTTTAAAAGGACTATTTATGGATCATATGTGGATGAAATGAATGTATATGAACTGCTGCTGCAGACACGCAGGTAGAAGAGAGACAGACAGACAGACAGACAGACAGACAGACAGACAGACAGACAGACAGGGGAGATGACGTAGCACCGTCAGGATGACGTCAGCCTCGCTGTGTCTCGGGGTGTGTTTGTTTTTGAGAGGAAGAAGCTGGTTGGATGTAGGGCGGGGTCTGAGGAGAGGTGGGGGGGCAGAGACAGAAGGACAGAGACAGAGACACCTCCTGACTACCCGCGGACGGACCGACACCGGGAGGATGCGCGGGCGCAGCGGCGGTCGGTAGCGCTCTGTTCTCGGGGACGGAGCTCCAGGATGAGCGTAGCGCTGCAGGACCTCCGGAACACCGTGAGTACGGCACACACACACGCGCGCAGTGAAACGTACACGCGCCCGGGCGCGCGAAATGCAGCCAACGCGCTCCCGTGCATCTGATGCCGATCAGCTGTCGATCACCGTGATCGATTCCCAGGCGGGTGCCATCGATCCGTATGAAGCTGTTACTGCAGACAGGTGTGTGAGCGCGCGTGCGCGTGCTGCTGACGTCACTGATCAATTAGGGTGATTGGTATAGCGGATCAATAACAGTCACAACATGGAGCTCCTGGAGGTTTCTCAGAGTTTGTGAACCACAGAAGAAGACTTCCTGTGACCGTCACTAAAGAACAATAATCAATACAACTTTTAAACGAATAATTCTTCAGATTCAATTTAAAAGAAACTATTATAAATTATTAAATGGAATTAGCTGGAATTGAATGTTGTATAATATATATATATATATATATATATAAAAAAACTGATTTTACCCCCTGGTCTACAACTTCCACTTCCATAACATGTCTACAAATTGTCTATAACATGTCCATAGCTAGACTATAACTGGTCTATAACATGTCTATAACTTGACTATAACTGGTCCATAACTAGACTATAACTGGTCCATAACTAGGCTATAACTGGTCTATAACTGGTCCATAACTAGACAATAACTGGTCCATAACTAGGCTATAACTGGTCTATAACATGTCCATAACTAGACTATAACTGGTCCATAACTAGACTATAACTAGACTATAACTATACTATAACTTGTCTATAAGATGTCTATAACTAGACTATAACTGGTCTATAACTTGTCTATAACATGTCTATAACTAGACTATAACTTGTCTATAACTAGACAATAACTGGTCCATAACTAGGCTATAACTAGACTATAACTGGTCTATAACATGTCTATAACTAGACTATAACTGGTCCATAACTAGACTATAACTAGACTATAACTTGTCTATAACATGTCTATAACTAGACTATAACTGGTCTATAACTTGTCTATAACATGTCTATAACTAGACTATAACTGGTCCATAACTAGACTATAACTTGTCTATAACATGTCTATAACTAGACTATAACTGGTCTATAACTTGTCTATAACCAGACTATAACTTATCCATAACTAGACAATAATATGGTCCATAACTAGGCTATAACTGGTCTATAACTGCTCCCAAACCTGTCAGTAAAATCTCAAAACAATAAGAAATGTGTCAATAATTAGTTCTTAGAAGGTTTCTCAAAGTGATGGTTCACCGGAAGAAGAAATTTGTATTAGTCACATTGTTAGAAACTTTATTCACGATAATCATTAATTATCTCTGTGAAACCATCGACAAGAGGAAGTTGAAGACGTGAAAATGAAACTTGTGGGAAGTTTGCTGTTGGGCGAGTTCAGGGAACCGACCGGCGGATCTGCATTCCTTCAGCAGCCTGAGACCAACTCAGAGGACAGGAATTAAGACTTATTCTCCAAAATAAAAGCTTATCCTCACAAAATAAAGCTGTTATCGCTAAAAAAACATAATTTATTCTTCAAAATAAAGACTCAATATCTCCAAATAAAGACTTAATATCTCTTAATAAATACGTAGTGTCTCTAAATAAATTTGGAATTAGAAATCAGGAACATTTATTGCCAAAATATGTAAGACATACAAGGAATTTGACATGGCGGTCGGTGCATAACATCGGACAGTAAGAAAAAATAAAATGAAGAAGAAAAGAAATTGGGTTATGGGCACATGAATGAAAAAAAAATAAAATGAAATGAAATAAAGACGTAACATTCATAAATACGGACTTATATTTTGGCGCCACAGGATCACACACAAAGTCACCCAGACCCGATGAGACAGGAGCGGCGCCTTTCTCACGTAAAGTTTAAACGCCTTTTAGCGTTGAGATGCTCCTCGCCGTCACTGACTGCTCCCCGCGCTGTACGATACGTACTCGTACTCATATTGCAGCCATTTTACAACCAATGAGCTATCAAACAGGCTAACGGTTAGCATCATGTAGCGCAGGAAGTGGCAGTCGCACTTAGAGACGCGTATACACCTGTACTAGAGACCTGTCACTCAGGGCGTAGCTCCGCCCTAAAGCATCCCTGCTTTATGGTCTGCTAGAGACCTGTCAATCAGCTTTAGCTCATGAAGCGTTGACCTCCCTCTAAAGAAATAGACAGACCGGCAAGAGGGAAACCTAGAAGAAAACCACCATTCCATGTGAATCTTTTGGAGCTCATAATAAAGCTTCAACATAGAGGAGAAGTATGAAGTACGAGCAGAACAACGGAAGTTTAGTACAATTACATCAAAGTACGTCTGCTGATGTCACTGGCTCTCAACCTGAGGTTCGGGGGCCACACAGGGACCAGAAGAACATAATCATCATGTTTGTTCTTTAGTTTCACTTCAGAATGTGAATGTATCACCATTGATGCTTCATCACCAAGTCCAGATGATTCTGGTTGTGGGAACATTTCCAAAGCGACAGCTCTGTGTGTGTGTGTGTGTGTGTGTGTGTGTGTGTGTGTGTGTGTGTGTTGGGTTTACTGTTTCCTGTCTGCAGCTCTGTGACTTCCTGTCTTAAGACGCCCAGTTTTCATCTGAGCAAAACAAACCAAACCCCCCCAAGCACAACACTGCTGTCTAACCAGCTTCATCATCTTCATCTTCATCATCTCCAGATGTTGGCTCCAGTACTCAGACTGGATTCAGTGGATCACAGTGGAATTCATGTGTACATATCTTTAGTATCTTTGTTGTGACGTCGCTATGCTAAGAGTGTCCCTCTGCTTCCAGTCTTTGTGCTAAGCTAAGCTAATGCGGTGTATGCAGGGAGAGGAAGCCGATCTTCCCTTGTTGTTCTGGAGAAACCAAATAAATGATTTACTACAATGTGTCTGAGGTCAGAGTACGGAGGCTGTCAGGGGACAAATTACACTGGCAGAGAGAGAGACAGACAGAAAGACAGGTAGAGAGACAGACAGACCGGCAGAGAGACCAACAGACAGGCAGACAGACACAGAGATCGGCTGAGAGACAGACAAAGAGACCGAGAGACAGACAGACAGATGTTACATAAGCTGCAGTGAACTTCATTAGAGCAGAATGGAGATGATTCACACACTTTATCTAATTACACACACACACACACACAGTGACATCACCCTCCACAGAGATATATAACACACTCTCTACGTCTCCTAGCAACCTCGCTCGCCCACTCCCCCCTTCTCTCCCCCTCTGCGTGCGTCATCAATTAAAGAGAACAGAGCCGGGGCGAGAGACAAAGAGAGAGGGACAGACAGGGAGACAGGCAGAGAGAGAGAGTGAGACTGGGTCTCCTGGAAGGCAGAAGACAGACAGGTCTCCATACATAAAGTCACTCTGGACCATCTGGACCTCAGGACCAAAAGAGTCCTTCCAGAGGTCAGACCCCCCCACGTAGATCTGGACCAAAGGTGTGACGCAAACATGCTAACATGCTGCTCCTCCGCCGTGGTGGTTTCCATGGTAACCAAATGCAAGGTTGTGTTTGTGTGGCTGATTCAGGATCAGAGGGCCGACCGCTGCCCTGTTTCTGCTTCACTTCCACCGAGGGGGGGGGGGGGGGCTCAGAGTGTAAACAGAGGAAGTACAGATGTGTTTGTTCACAGTTAAATACCTCCTCATGCTGAGCTCTGTTGCTCCTCCGGTCCCTCCTTCTGTCACACGAACCTCCAGAGAACACAAAGAACCAGAGAGAGTCTCTTTCCCCCATGTTGTACAGATCAGTTACACTCTCTGAATACAGAGCTGCTGCCAGTTAGCTTAGCATAGTAGGTGGAAATAACTAGAAGGTAAACCAATAGCACATGAGCTTAATCAAGGAGAAATGTTCTCGTTCTTAAATGTGAAGTCAAAGCTTCATGAGTTAAAGCTGCATTCTGTGTGGTGACCAGCAGGGGGCGACTCCTCTGGTCCCATAGACGTCTATGAGGAAATGACTCTACTTCTCTGTAGTGACCAGCAGGGGGCGACTCCTCTGCTCCCATAGACGTCTACGAGGAAATGACTCTACTTCTCTGTAGTGACCAGCAGGGGGCGACTCCTCTGCTCCCATAGACGTCTACGAGGAAATGACTCTACTTCTCTGTAGTGACCAGCAGGGGGCGACTCCTCTGCTCCCATAGACGTCTACGAGGAAATGACTCTACTTCTCTCTTGATTTATTCCCTCCGTAGAGGTTGTAGTGGCGCAGGGGTTAGAGAAGGTGTGCTGGGAAGCACTAGGTTGTTGGTTCGATTCCAGGCTGCCCCATGTTCCAAGTCGAAGTGTCCCTGAGCAAGACACCTAACCCCTAATTGCTCCCTGGGCAAAATGTGAAAAAGCAATGGGTTTAATGTAAGTTGCTTTGGATAAAAGCGTCTGCTAAATGACATGTAATGTAAACATGAGTCTCTAGTCTCAAGTCTTCTTCAACACAGATGATGTTCATTTAGTGACCAATGGTCCATTTACGTCACTTTGTTACTTGTTCGCTAGTGCACTTTATGCTTAATATTTTTTTACTTTTTTAATATTCTACATTTTTAACTCTAACTTTATTCTCTTATTTTATACTAACCCTTTGCATCAGAATTTCATTTTATTGTATTACTTGTGCACTGCTGTCTTGTTGTCTATTGTTACACTGTCTACTGTCACGCACCAACCGCCAAGACAAATTCCTCGTGTGTTTGACATATTTTGGCAATAAATGTTTCCTGATTCCATTTAGAGTCAATCAGACCATAAAGCAGGAGACGCTTTAGGGCGGGGCTACACGCTGATAGACAGGTCTCTACCAGAGACGTATACAATGTCTCTACGTCCTCCTCAGTCCTTATATGGACGACACTTCTTGTTCACTTGTAAAAAACAATATGGCGACCACCAAAACGCAGATCTCAAGACTTGAAAACATCTCAAACTGGTTACAGCAAAACGTTTTCAAATCAAGATTGTTTGGATGAATCACGTCCGTAAAGTACTCAGTGAGATCGCTTCTCTACATTTGCTCTTCCCTAATAATATTAATAAAAATGAAGATCCAAATCCAAATCATCCCAGAGATTCAGGACTTAAAGGGAGATCAGTGGTTTTACTCTGATGGGGGACGTCAACGCTTCCTACCAAAGGAGAGGAGGTCGTTTTGGATGAATAATAAATACTGCGCAATACACCAATGCCAGAAGAAGGGTTGCGTTTGACCGTCGCCATGGTGACGTCCCGTCCACTACTTGATAAAGAGCCAAACTACTTTGTTCAATTTAAACTGGGTGAAACTGGACCAAAGGGTTGTCAGTGCCTCAGAATCGTGTTTCTAAATCCTGTCCTCTTGATGGCTAATGAGGTTCTGGACTTTGTCTCATGAAGAGACCCGGACAGGCTGACATTAAACCTGTTGTGTTTATAGGGACTGATGGTCTTATGACAGCAGATTAGATGCATTCAGACAGCTGTCTCATTTATCTGCCTCTCTTGTGTCTGTCTGTCTCTCTCTGCAGATGTCCAGCTATAAGCGAGCTACGTTGGAGGAGGACGACGGGTTGGACGCTCCAGGCGAGGCAGCCTCGTCTCCCGACCGAGTAGAGGTCAGTGAACACACCACACAGAGGCAACAGAAGAAAGGATACATTTTTCCAGTGAGACATTTACCCTTTAACGAATAGGAAATGCCCCTAAATCACCCGTGAAACTGGTCCCAGGTGAAGTTCTCGCTCAGAGGTTCAAACCCAGGACAGGCACAGGACCTTCTCCGAGAGCCAGGCCTTGGGCGGCGAGGGCTCAGACTGGAGCTGAGCAGGAGGCCACATTGTGTGGACCCCCCCCCCCACAAAGAGAGGGGCTGTGTGGAGGAGGCTGGGCGGTATACCGCTTCCACCGCTTCGCCCTTATCAGATTTCCTTGTGGTGTGACTGAATGCGGCTCCTCAGGAATGGGAGAGATTCCCCTCCCATTCATGAGAAGGTCCAAGGACTTCAGAGATGATGCTTGTGGGCGTTAGAATCCATGGAGAAGGACTCTGCTTGTGGGTTAGGTCTGTGGAGTACATTTGGGCTCTTAGCAGGAAATGTACTTTAGTTGACCTCAAGTAGTTGCATGGACATGCATCCCTGCAGTAATGCAGTAATGCAGATGTTCAGCAGATTCACAGCAGAACCTCTGGATCCACTTAAAGATCTTGCTGTCTATGTGGCTCCGGGTTGCGTCTGAAGGAATGAAAGAGGTGATTGGGCTCCATCAGAAGTTCCAGAGGTCTCAGAGTGCTCGTAGGCTCCATGACCCATGAGGAGGTGACAATTCAGTTGGACCGAGACTCAGAACAAACAGAAGGTTCTGGTTTGGCTGTCTGATCCTCAGCCTCTGGTGTCTCTCAGGTGGGTTTCCGGAAGGGAGGCGTGGACATTCTGGGCCGGAGGACACAGCTGGAGGTTCTTCTGTCGGTTCTGCTGCTGGTCGCCCTGCTGGCTCTGCTGGCCTGTTTGCTGGTCCTGGGTCTAGGATTCAGCTCAGGTAATACATCCTTCTACAGCTTTCCAACCTCTTTCAATCCTTCACAGTCTTTCCTTTCCTTCCTGTGTAACCTTCTATATGACCTTCTTTCCTTTTGTTTCTTGATCATTTCCTTCTCCTCCTGCCTCCTCTGTGTCTCCTTTCCTTCATTTCACACACTCTCCCTCCTTCTTTGGCTCCCGTTCTTTGTCCTTTCCTTCTTCTTTTCCTTCCCTTCACCTCGCCCTTTCCTCTTCCTTCATGCCCACACCCATCCTATGTCCTTCTTCCCTCATCATTCCCTGCCATCATCTCTCTATCCTTCTCCACCTCGTCCCTCCTTTTACAGCCTTGGTTCTCCTCATCTTCTTTGTTTACTTCTCTTCTTCCTAACATTCAGTCAACAGATATTCAATTGTAACACATCAAATAACTTCCTGCTGCTATCTTCAGCTCCAGTCACTCGGTTTTCTCATGATGCCTTGCAGACAGTGGGCGGGGCCTCTGCCTGTCGGAGGCGTGTGTCACGGTGGCGAGTCAGATGGTGGAGGCCATGGACCGCAGCGCCGATCCCTGCAGCGACTTCTACCAGTTTGCCTGCGGAGGATGGATGAGGAAGAACCCGCTACCAGATGGACGGTCCAGGTGGTCCACCTTTAACAGCATCTGGGAGCAGAACCAGGCTCTGCTCAAACACCTGCTGGGTGAGACAAGCGGGGGGCAGTTGGGTGGGGGGCGGGAGATGGCGAGAGAGAGAGAGAGAGAGAGGGAGGCTGCAGTGTAACGTAACCTGTCTGTCTCTCTAGAGAACGGGACCTTTAATGGCAGCAGTGAGGCGGAGAAGAAGACTCAGTTCTATTATCTGTCGTGTCTCAACACCCAGAGGATCGAGGAGCTCGGGGCGCAGCCTCTAGTAGACCTCATCGCCAAGGTAACCTGCATCACCAGCATCACATGGTCCAACAAAGTTTCTGCTCCTGTCACATTGAGTTTGGAGCTTTGACTAAAGTTTGTTTGAAACGTGATGTGTTCAGGGACCATCAAGACCAGTTTTTACATCTCACGGATTATTTTGTATATGTCGAAAAAACCTGTTGATCAAACCGTCAGTGGGTTTTAGGTTTAACTCTTATATATAAGAAAAAAACTGAGTATTGTTCTTCTTCAGATCGGCGGCTGGAACATGACGGGTCCGTGGGAGAAGGAGAACTTCATGGAGGTTCTGAAGACTGTCTCTGGTCCCTACAGAGCTCAGCCCTTCTTCAGTGTCGGAGTCAACGCTGATCCCAAGAACTCCAACAGCAATGTCATCCAGGTAAACCAGGACCAGCCTGGACCAGAACCACAACCACATGAGATTGAGCCAGACTGAAGCAAAACCAGAACGTCACAACAAAAACCAGACTGGACCTGAACCACACTAAACCAGAACCAGACTGCGTGGACCATCTGGTCGGAGTGTTCTGTTATCTGACAACAAGGCCATCACCTGTATGTCTCTGGTTCTCTCGGCTGATTGGTCCACAGGTGACCTCTCTGCGTCATAGTGTCACTCATCTGTTGGTTTCCTGTCTCCAGCTCGACCAATCAGGCCTCTTCCTGCCATCCAGAGACTATTATCTCAACAGGACGGCCAACGAGAAGGTGAGAACTTAGTCCCCACCTCCTCTCTGAACCCTGAGGTTGGTCTGTGATGGCGTCATATGATGCCCCTACAGGTACTGGTGGCGTACCTGGACTACATGGTGGAGCTGGGGACACTGCTGGGGGGGGACAGGAGCTCCACCCAAATTCAGATGCGGCAGATCCTGGACTTTGAGACAGCGCTCGCCAACATCACCGTCCCTCAGGACCAGCGGAGGGACGAGGAGAAGATCTACCACAAGGTTACCATCTCCGAGCTGCAGGTGAGGGGGCGGAGCTATATCTGTTTTCTAAGGTGACATCCTGTGTTCTCTATCATAACATCACATGTCCACTAAGATGTCATGACCTGTACTATCATCACGTCTCCTCTACGGTAACATCATCCTATAATATCTCCTCGTGTTTATCCGCCACGCCTGCAGAATATTGTCTAACATGAAAACGGTCCGTGAGGCAAGACAGGTTAGGGGACCACTGCTAAAGGTGTCATCACGTGTCCTCTAAGTTGTCACCACGTGCTCTCTGAGGTGTCATCACGTGTCCTCTAAGGTGCCTTCATGTGTCCTCGAAGGTTTCATTGGTTGTCATCACGTGTCCTCTAAGGTGCCTCCATGTGTCCTTAAAGGTCTCATTGGTTGTCATCCCTTGTCCTCTAAGGTTTTCATGTCTCATTCCTTTGCCCAGAGGTCTAACGTCTCCGTGTCACCATCTTCTGCTCTGCTCAGGCCTCTGTCATTGAGGTTGCGGATGCTATCGCTGGTCACCGTGGCAACTGTTGCCAAGAGCCGTTGCCATGCGCCCGCATCACTGAGGCGCCGCAGAGAGGAGGGGTTAGATAATGTTGTTACATAAGCATGAAGCAGACCTTGGTTTTCACAAACCCAGATTTATCCTTTTTGTTACTAGATGATGATGTTCACAGCAGGGGGGCTGCTTCATGTTTCCATAAGCTCCTACACAGGGATCTATACTTCTAAACCTGCTGACCACTGTCCTTCTCCATGAGTCCTGAGAAGTGAGGAAAAATCAGAGGAAGCTGAAGCTGACTTCCAGGCACCGAGGCCTTCAGTGACCTTCATGTCACCTGAGAGGTTCAACACTGCCGTGTAGCTCTTTTCCTCATCTGCTGTGAGTTCCTCTCGGAGGTTGAAGAGGAACTTAAGATGTAGTTTCTGACCTCTGGTGGTCAACTGGAACTTTATTTAAACTTTAGACTACGTAACAACCAATTCAGGATTCAACAGGAAGCAGTCAGAGGACTCTTGTCTTACTGCCTCCATCTCACTGCCTCCATCTCACTGTCTCACTGTCTCTTGTCTCCCCCCCCGAGGAGATTTGTTTTCTCAATATCTCAATACCTCCTGGGTGGTGCAATATTCTTCCACACCAGTCCAGATGTATTATTATTTAATTATTTATGTATATCGGATGTGAACTCCAGATTCTCTTCTTCTGTGGCTTCATTTCCAGCTTCTGGCTCCATCCGTGGAGTGGCTGGACTACCTGTCTTACTCTCTGTCCCCTCTGGAGCTCAACGACACTGAGCCCGTCGTCCTCTATGCCAGAGAGTACCTGCAGCAGGTTTCCGAGCTCATCAACAAGACAGAGCGCAGGTGCGTCCTGGCGTCTCACCCGTCTGTCTCACCCGTCTGTCTCTCGTGTCCTTCTCACCCGTCTGTCTCACTTGTTTGTCTCTCTGTCTCCTAGTCTGTTGAATAACTACATGATGTGGACGCTGGTTCTGAAGAGTGTGGCGAGTCTGGATCAACGCTTTGAGAACGCTCAGGACAAACTACTGGAGAGCCTGTACGGGACCAAGAAGGTACTCGTACTGCTACTGCAAGTTATACTGCAAGTACTACTCCTGTTACTGAGGACAACTGTTAGCCTTACTCACTGATCCTTACTGGTCTGTAACTGGTCTCACTGGTCCGTAACTGGTATCGCTGGTTGTGGTTTGATCTAGTCCTGCACCCCCCGCTGGCAGACCTGCATCGGGAACACAGACGACACGCTGGGCTTCGCTTTGGGGGCGCTCTTTGTGAAGGCCACCTTCGACAAGCACAGCAAGAAGATTGTGAGTCACCGACATGAACCGGATCTATCTGGTCCAGGAGCAGGTCTAAACCCCTGTCTCGCGGTCCCTTAGGCTGAGGAGATGATCAACGAGATCCGCTCTGCCTTTAAAGAAGCTCTGGACCGACTCAACTGGATGGACGATCACACGAAACGGGCCGCTAAGGACAAGGTAGAGAGACAGGGGACAGATAGGTGGGCAGATAATTGGACAGATAGGGTCTGTATATATATATAGGACTCCTTGTCTCTCGCTGTCCCTTTAGGCTGATGCGATCTACGACATGATCGGTTTCCCAGAATTCATCTTGGACCCCAAAGAGCTGGACGACGTGTTTGACGGGGTGAGTGACAGCTCTCAATTATGTCTTCTGCAGGTATGTCAGGATGTCTCACTTACCTGTGGACAGGTAGGCGGGTCGTCTCATGCTCTTGTTGTCTTTCAGTACGACGTGTCTGACGACAGCTTCTTCCAGAACATGTTGAACTTCTACAACTTCTCGTCCCGAGTTATGGCCGACCAGCTGAGGAAGACCCCCAACAAGGACCAGTAAGAACCACCGAGACAATCACATAACAGACTTCAACCCAACAGGATGTGACATCATACATAAAAGGGGCAGGAATTAGATTTTTACACTAAATCAAACTATGAACAAATATGTTTCAATTTTAGTTTTGAGTTTCCACACCAACAAGCCTGAAATCATTTATTCTTATGCTGCGTTCACACCAAAGAGAAGCACATTTGTGTTGTTGATTCGCCTTCATTCACGCCGGAAAGGGGCCGTGGCTTATCTCTGTAAGTTCAGAATCTGAATCTGAAGCCATTTATTGCCGCGTATGTTACACACAGGAATTTGAGTTGGTACATTGATGCAATACATGGAGATAAAAAATAAAATAAGATTGAGATAAAAACATACAATCACGAAAAAAACAATATAAACAGATAAGTAGGTCAAAACACGTATGTATGTCTGTATGTTTCCATGGTGAGAGAAGCCACTGTGCAATGTTCCAGGGATGAAGTGTTTGGGTCAATGAGGGACTCGGACTTGGCTCAAGAGACCAACTTCTGACGGGAAAAAACTGTTTCTATGACGAGAGCCATAGAAACAGCCTCCTGGCAGAAGGAAGGGGCTCAAAGAGTCTGTGCCCGGGGTGAGAGGGGTCGGCTACCATCTGTCCTGCCCGCCTCAGAGACCTGGAGGCAAACAAGTCCTGCAGGGACGGCAGATTGCAGCCGATCAGCCTCTCTGCAGAGCGGAGGACACGCTGCAGCCTGCCCTTGTCCTTGGCTGTGGCTGCAGCGTACCAGACGGTGATGGAGGAGCAGAGGATGGACTCCATGATGGCCGTGGAAATAACTATTTCTACTCTGTACTTGTTGCGTAAATTACACAAACGTGGGAAACGCCGTTGTGTTTGAGTTCATGACATCATCAGCTCGTGAATTCCACCGACTCCTCCAGGAAGTGCGTCTGGATGACTGTCGCTTCCAGCGCTGCTTCAGGCGGACCGGCAGCCGGTCTGAGGACCTGTTGGGTCGGATCTCTCGATTGGATACCAAATAACTGACAGGTCTCAGCTGCGGAGCGCCTGTTTGTCTCCTTTTCATCAAGTATATTCGCACTTTGGCAGCAGGGCGGCGGTGATGACGAGCATGGAATCTATGCTTTGCTTTAGATGTGAACGCAGCATAATGATTTTCCTTATTGTTCAGACTCATAAACATTAAATGTTTAAAACACAGCAATAAGAAACAGGACCTGAAAAATAAAGAGGTAAACAAGATGGATAACTGTGTTAAATGATATAAAGTATATAATTCTAGCACGTAATTAACCTCCTCTCCTCCTCCTCTCAGGTGGAGCATGACTCCTCCTACAGTGAACGCCTACTACATGCCCACAAAGAACGGCATCGTTTTCCCTGCTGGGATCCTACAGGCGCCTTTCTACTCCCATGACCACCCGAAGTCTGTCCGTCCGTCCGTCTGTCTGTGTGTCCGTCCGTCCGTCTGTCCGTCCGTCTGTCCGTCCGTCTGTGTGTCTGTGTGTCCAATTCAATTCATTTTATTTTGTGTAGCCCAAAATCTCAAATTAGCCTCAGAGGGTTTTACAGTCTGAACACATGCGACATCCTCTGTCACATCAGCACAGAGAAACTCCCCCAAAATATGAAAACCCTTCATGGGGAAAAAAGGGAGGACAGCTTAGTGAGAAGGTCAGAGGATCCGTCTCCTGATGGACAGACTACAATGACGTCATGAGTACAGAATGAACAACGTAGAAGATGAACAACACATTCGATTCATATGACAGAGATGATTCAACCTATTGTGAGTAGTAAGTTGTGAGGACCTGGGCCTCATTTATAAACGTTGCGTACGCCGCTCTCTACGCAATAATTGGTATTTATAAAAGCAAACTTGACGGAAAAATGTGCCGTCCTTCACGCAGGCTCGGACCCGTGAGTACGCACAAAACGGGTGAAATGAGAACCGTCGGCGGTAATAAAACGCCATGATGCCGTCACAATGCGTAATGACGCTGATGGCTGATCTCACGCTCTTAGAAGACGTGGCACATGGAAGGATTGGCGCTGTAGTGCAGCACCATCGGCCTGTTTAAGGGCAGATGGCGCCGCCTCGACTGCACTGGAGGAGGTTGTTGTTTACTCCTGAGAAGCTGTGAAACATCCTGCGTGTGCTGTGCTACATGATGTGGCTCAGCTTCCAAACGCGCCTCCACCCCCTGACGCCGATGTTGGCCCAGACCCTGTCCCCGATCCCCAATCACTGCCCCCAGTCTCTCATCAGGAGGGGACAGCTCCGGTGTCCCCACCCGTGGAGACGCACCTTGGCGATGACGCTAAACGCTTTTCTGCATCCACTTTGAGGTCAGACCAGTTTTTCTTTGTTTGGGTCCGAGGTCGTGAGGCTGCAGCGTTGCTCTGCAGCCTTTTGCCCCTCAGGTGCCTTGTTGGCATCAGTGATCCACACTGTGTCCTCCAAAGAGCGTCTTACGTCTCCTTCCACCTCCCAGTGATCATCTCCACTTCACACTGAGTGAAGTGACGTCTCTTCGTTTTCCTCTCAGTGTTTGTCATGATTTCACAATCGATGAATATTAATTTGTGGGCGTTCCACAGACTATATTTGGGCAACTGTGGGCGTGACATGAAGCCGCAAAAGCTGCGCTGCATTTAGAAGTGATTGTGATTTAAGGGAAAACTGCGTAGGACGTTTTATAAGTCGGAATGTTTCTGTGCGTCCGCACGTTTCATCCGTACGACACTTCTGGAGCAAATCCTACACAAGCTTTTATAAATGAGGCCTCTGGTCTCCAGCTGTCTGTCTGAGCCTCGTATTTAGTACTTAAAACAACTGATTATAAATACTACTATACATACATAATACACTTGGTACATGTAATACACACATGTATATAATAACGGTTTATGATGTTGTGTGTTTTCAGGGCGTTGAACTTTGGCGGCATCGGGGTGGTGATGGGTCACGAGCTCACGCACGCCTTCGATGACCAGGGTGAGCTTACTTCCTGTCACGTGATGCCTTCACTGCACTCTGACTAAATACGAGACTCTGGGGCTCAGGTGCTACTTTATGTTACATTCCTATTAAATGTGACTCAGTGGTGGTTATTGGGTTTAGATCTATTTAGTTTTATTCTAGACAATAAAGTTTGATCAACATGTACATCCTATTGTCTTTAGACTTTAAGACAGAGATGAATATTAAACTTCACTGCAGGTGAACACAAGTAGGTTCTTGTGACGCTGTGTCTTTAAATCAGAGATGAAATTAATTAAGACTCATTCAGAAAACAACGTTTTTTACTCGTCTTCTGAGGTGAGAAATAACACAACAACAACAATACAGCATTCATTCATCACCGACAGGATGACGCCATTTAACCGTAGAAACAGTGGACGCGCCTCATGAACAGGTCGTCGTGGCGTAGAGAGGGAGCGGCAAAAAAAAAAAAAGTAAATCCAAAAAACCTCCTGAACAGAAACGGTGTAAAGCTGAAATAAATGCATTAGTATTGTTTTTATCAAGTGGTCTTATATTGTCATTTGTCACTTATGCTACAAGCCCCATATGTTGGCCACGCCCCCATCAGCAGCATCGACACAAAGCAACGCGCCTGCCTTCTGACAGCGCTTCAATGGAGACCAATGTCCCATGTCGAAGTGTCCCTGAGCAAGACACCAAACCCCTCATTACTCCCCGGTAAAAAGTGTAATGTAAGTGGCTTTGGATAAAAGCGTCGGCTAAGTGAACCGATAGGAAGCTGTTTAGTTTCCCTGTGTTTGTGAGACTTGCAAAACAAGTAGAACAAACAAAAACAGATGTTATTTACTTCAATGGTCGATGGAGAAAACCAAAAATGGGCGGGTTGGTGACAGTTCCCATGGAGATTAGCCCCTCCCCCTCGTCCTCCATCAGGTCGCGAGTACGACAAAGAGGGAAACCTAAGAGCGTGGTGGCAGAACTCGTCGGTGGAGGCGTTCCGCCAGAGGACCGAGTGTATGACGGAGCAGTACAACCGCTACACCGTCAACGGGGAGCACGTCAATGGAAAGCAGACGCTGGGGGAGAACATCGCCGACAACGGGGGGCTGAAGGCGGCCTACCACGTCAGTATGAAACTCACAAGAAAGAGTCGATTTGATGTACGTCGCCCCCTGAGTGAACGGCGTTGTCCCCTCAGGCGTACCGGTCGTGGGTCCAGAAGAACGGGGAGGAGAAGAGGCTCCCCGCCGTCAACCTCACCAATGACCAGCTCTTCTTCCTCGGCTTCGCGCAGGTCAGTCGAAACAAACGCACCCCGGGGACCTTTAAGCGGATAGGTGTCCCACAAGGTTCCCCACCGTGCCCCCTTGTGTTTCTATAGAGGAACCAGGTTGTGCACGAGTACGGGGCCTGCTGGTGGTGCTGGGCTCACCTACCTGTCCTTAGGCTGCAACACACGTACACTGATGCCGTGTGTTTTGTGTGTGCAGATGTTATTTATTGCTTGTTTTTTGAGCAGTGATGTCACGTATGTTTGAATTAGAGAAGAATTCAGGCTTCCTTCCTCTCCTGCACTGTAATCACCGTTTCTTCTTGTCTGGTTTCTTGTTTTATCTTCACTATTGAGCAAAGAAACCAAACTAAGCTAGGCTAACTACCACTAATGCTGATTCAGCCAATAAGGACGCGGCTATTGCATTACCCCGGTGAGTGACATCCACCACTTCCTGTCTGTGTGTTCCCAGGTGTGGTGTTCGGTCCGAACGCCGGAGAGCGCCCACGAGGGCCTGGTGACCGACCCGCACAGCCCCCCCCGCTACCGGGTCATCGGCACGCTCGCCAACTCCCCCGACTTCAGCCGCCACTTTGCCTGTCCCGCCGGGACGCCCATGAACACCGGGCGGCGCTGCGAGGTCTGGTAGAGGGGGCGGGGCAAAGGGGCGGGATCACGGGGCTGACGAGCGGACGGACTTCCTGTCTGCGATCTGCACGGACTCACTGGACGCAGAGAGATCGAGGACTGATGACGATTGATTGCTGATTTCTGCTTTATTACCGTTATTGATTATTATTATTATTGCTGGTGTGTGTGTGTGTGTGTGTGTGTGTGTGTGTGTGTGTGTGTGTGTGTGTGTGTGTGTGTGTGTGTGCATGTGCGACTCTCTGATGACCTCACACCAGGTTGACCTCTTACATCACTTTCATTCCGGACTTTTAAGGCGTTGTATTTTCCGCTTTGACTTAAATGAGTTAATTAATCATTAATTTCAACTATTAAAGGGTTTGGATGGATTATTTATTGCGCTATTTGAGGACTTTTAAGGAGTAAAAAGTCTCAAAATGCTCTTTATAGAAACATTAAACGACATTTTTAGGCTCAATGGTTTTCATGTTTTAGAGTCAATTTAATTAATTTTTCGCCCTTCAAAGGTTCTTAAATCAAATTATAATAATGATCAGCCCTTCAAATGACCCTAATTAGATGTCCAACGTGTCAATGGCGAGAACACAAACTCTTTGTGTTAATAATTAATGACATAACACTTAGAATATGTTAAAACTCGTTTAACAGTGTTGCCTTAGTTCTTTAGTAAAATGCCTTAAAAATAGAATAAATTAACAAAATAACAATAATTGTAATATTTAAACTTTTTTATCCAAATATGTGAATATTTATTCATATTATCTGATCAGTACCCCTTTCAAATATGGAAATACTGTAAATACACCATGTAAAAAGGACCCTCTTATTTAGTTTGAGTGCTTGTTCATCAGGAGGTTAAAAGCTTCATGAACCTCCGGAACATCCTGATCTTTACTGGTCTTTTTCTTCAGCTCTTAAAGGCCTTAATTTAACACTCGTCTTCAGTTTAAATTAAGCGATTCAGTGTAATTGTTGTCGCTCTGTGTTTTCCTGCTGTTTCCATGGAGACTCACCTCCAGCAGAACCTGCGGAGCCCATCAATCAACGTCAGCGCCTCCAAGATGACACTTAGTTATACAACTTTGAAATACCGCCTTAAAATTGTGAGATTAAAACAAAAGTCAAAGGATGATCTCTGATGGGTCATGTGACCTGATGTCAGAAGTCAGACCAACTCCTAAAAACGGGTCGGGGGCCATTCTAGTCAGCGTGGGGCGTTCAAGGAGCGTGGGGTTTTACAGGTTCACACCGAAAAAATGTATTTTTACTTTCAATAGTTTGACACTTCATGACGACATCATCAAATAACAAGTGAAGAAGCAGTGAGAGGGAGCTGACAACAGGGGGAGCCTCTTACAGCAGAAGAAGAAGCTGCTTCCTGCCAAAGACGTTTCTGTGTGCGTGTGTGTGTGTGTGTGTGTGTGTGTGTGTGTGTGTGTGTGTGTGTGTGTGTGTGTGTGTGTGTGTGCAGTAGCTCTCGTGTACAATAAACTCTTTGTCTTTAAGGTGGCGTCACTACTCTGCTCGTCCAATCAGAGCGCTGCATTACAAATAAACGTCTTAAAACTCACAGCGCTGCTCTTATTATGACAACTACAGATCCCACAATGCACCTGTGTCCTGGCCGAGTCCAAGTTTTTGAAATATTTCTGCTTTAAAAGTTAAAAAGGACTTTGAGCTAGTTGTACCTAAAGTATGGGAAGTATTACTACTTTGCTTGTTTTACTTTTGTTTCCTTTATTACATCACAGGTCATTTAGCAGAAGCTTTTATCCAAAGCGACATGTAATAATAATAATAATAATAATAATAATAATCACAGGTCATTTAGCAGAAGCTTTTATCCAAAGCGACATGTAATAATAATAATAATAATAATAATAATAATCACAGGTCATTTAGCAGAAGCTTTTATCCAAAGTGACTTACGTTACATTTTTAACTCGTGACTTTTTACATTGTTGCCCGGGGAGCCATTAGGGGTTTGGTGTCTTGCTCAGGGACACTTTGAGGGGGGACATGGAGCAGCCGGGACTTCAACCACCAACCTTGCGGCACGACTTTAGTAGCACTTTGTACTGTAGCTAAAGTACTGCATATCTACTATTAACAGAGTATTTGTATCGTGTAGTATAGTTCTGTGTGTAATGAATACATTTTTACTATTACAAATGATACATATCATCACATCATATGATATATATTTAAATGTATATATATATATATATATATATATATATATATATATATGAGGATATGTATGTACATATATCAATATGTATATTTCATCTATTAATAAATATATATATTATGTCTGTACAAACAATGAAGCACAACGGGGAACCAAAGGCGGGGGGCGGGGTTAATGAGGGGGCGGGGCTTGTACAGCTCAGTCCGCATCTGGAAGCTCAGACAGAAAGCTGCACGTCTTTGAGCTGTAGACTCACCTGAGCCCGAGACCCACTGCATGCACAGGTGAGTGTGTGAGTTATACGAAGTACTTTATATATTAAATCACATATATTCTTATTTAAAGATGATTCTAACTGGTTAGTGGGCAATCACAGCAAACTGTACAGCACTTGGTTGATATTTTATCTTGACCTGTTGCAGGATCTTTTCCAGTCTTGTTTGTTCAGTATGATATTTAGAATTAGACACCGCTATTAGAGATTTGTGCATGTGGCTGTAAAACATTCTGATTGTGAATAAGGGTTTGAAATGAGGGTAAATTTCCAGAGGAAGATTAATTCCCTCTGCTCACTTTTAACCTGTGTTGGGCAAGTTACTGAAAATGAGTATTTATTAGTTGCTTCTTTTAAAGGTAACTGAATTACTTACCAGTTACTGTGTATCAAAAGTAATTAGTTACTCTGGAAAGTAACTTTTAAGTTACTTTTATGTCTTTTTAAATGTAATGAATATAAATAGTACTGAACAGTCAAACGTAATAAACATATTTTTTAGACCTATTTATTGTAATTAACAGGGCAACAGGCCTTCAAATCAAGCAATAGTACAAAAGTCCTTTTTAATACTTAACTTAATACAGAATAACAGTTTGAGGCTCAATCGATCAGCTCTGCCGGTTCATCGGCTGCTCTGCAGTCCGTGTGAAGAGGAGCGCTGGTTGTTTGCGTGGCGCCGCCTGCAGCATCCTGCGCTCTGTCCTCATGAGCGACGCACGCGACTATTCTGTGACGCACAACTGTTTAGTGCTGACAGGCAGCTGTTTACTTACTATTTGCCGGCCCTCCGACTCCCAACACTGCTATTAAGACAAAGTATGCTAAATAATTATACATTTTATTTATATAGTGCTTTACATGGTAGGCTCATTAGCACATAAACACAAATACAGCAATAAAACCGACACCTAAAACAAGCATATTAAAACAGTCTACAACTTTCCTGTAAGTAGATATTTTTAGACCCTTCGTCATTCCGTCGGTCAGCGATTGTCTAACAGGCTTTTCTCTGTTTAATTACAGCTGCGTTTTTCCCTTTTTGCATATTAGAGGCTTCACCTCCTCAGAAGTTTCCATAATTAGTTGCTGCTCAGCGGGTTAAAAATATGCTGCGCGCGTCTTCTCCATCTGTGCATCAGTAGATGTGTGATGGACACCGTGGTCTACTTAAGCGTGAACGTGCACTGATCCAGCTGTGTGCATCTGGATGGACTAAGCTCCTCCTCCTCATCCCGTGCAACCGATTAAGATCAAACTAAGTCAAGCTGAACCTTTTCACTTAAACTGGATTTCTTTATTCTGCTTTTGTCTAATAGCCCCGTTCAATAAAGAAAGTATTCACGAAATGAACTGAGTTGCTTTCATCTTCTCGGAAAATGAATGCGATCAATAAAAAAATAAGTTGATTAATCAATCAAATAATGTGGGATAAAGAAAACAGTTTTCTGCGTTGGCTTCAAATGAAAAAGATAAAAGTTCAACAGAAGGATCAAAGTCACCTTATTGCTCAGCAGCCAATCAGAACGCTGCCAGCCGATGACATCACCGAGGGCGCTTGGTGACATTAGCCGTTGTATAAGTACGTGAATCCTCCAGACTCACGTACTTCTCCCTGTGTATTTTCTGTGTAATCAACCTTCGTGTTTGAACATCATTGACGAACAAAGGAACAAACCAATGACCATCCAGAGCGTTTGTTAGGCTCCTCCTCTTTTCTGTTGTGTACCTGCGGGGGGAGGAGGTGAGGGAGGATGAGGAGGAGAGTGGAGCAGAGGGAGGACAGCGCAGAACTCATCGCCATGGAAACCCAGGCGGAGACGGACTACGGCAGCATCGCCGCGGTAACGTGACACGACGGCCGATGGTCATCATTACTTTAATAAATCATATTTGCCATTATACAATTATTATATGCACTTAACTACTCCAAGTACTATGAGTACTATAAATACTGTAAGTACTACATTTATTTCCCAACACGGGGGATGAAATTATGAAGTTGAAGAATGACGTTTTAAAGCTTTTGCACATCATCAAAGTCGAACAATTGTCTGAATCGTGTACTTCATAACTAAGATGTAGAATGTAGAATGAGCTCCGTTGGTTTTAGCGGACAGGAAACAGGAAACAGGAAACAGGAAGTGTGTGATGAAGAGACGCAGCCTCATTAGCCACAAAGTAAACAGTTAATATCACAGAGTACGATCTGCTCTAATTAACCGGGGGAGTTTCTTTATAGCCTAGTTCATGTGACCTAATGGAGGAATGTGATTGGTTAGTGGAGGGAGAACAGATGAACTATTCCATCAATCCGGGTTTTAATTCATTGGTTTGGTTGTTTTCGATTTTTGTTATGGAGGTTCAAATATTAAGATGTCCTGAGGGATTTTGTTATCATTTCCCAGGATGCACCTGTTCATCGTCCTGACAGGAACGTCTTCAGTGACGGGTTTAGTCGAGTTGGTGAGTAAAACAAACGCACTAATAGCACAAAGAGTAAAAGAACTGAGACGTTTTGAAGCTTGTTTGAGGTGTTGATGTGAAGTAGAGTTTTTGTCTAAATCTAAGATGGAGTTTACTGACAGAACTCTGTACTAAGTACTAGTCACAGTCTACTGCACCAATTTCTGACCAAACTACTCAGTATTCTAGATGTGTTTGTAAATCCTCCCCACTGGTGTGTAGACAAACAGACAGTCTGAGGACTAAGTGAGAAACTGTATCTTCTCTTTGGGTTAAGTAGCAGAACCTGGTTCGTTTTACAGAACCCAGGTCCTTTTAACGTTTTTCCTGAGTGATCGTCAGTGATCCACGATGCGAGTTTTAAACGCTGTGCTCCTATTGGCCAGATTTTGTCTTGGTGTGGGAGGAGCCTCTGAGCTCACAGAGGGAGGAAAGCAGAGGTGTAAGCCCCGCCCACAAGGAGTGGAGAAAGGTGTTTCTGAACAAGCTGAGAGACTGCGGCCTGCTGCAGGAGCAGGTGAGTAAAACAAACCCCTTAAGTCAAACATCACATCCCTGAGATGTGTTTGAACAGTGACACAACTGTTCAAAGAGGCAGACATTCTCTTACACGTACTAATGAAACACTATTCAAACGCTTTCTCACACACATGATTGACGCTTTTCGCTGTTCACAACCTGCACCCCTTGTTTCCACCTTCCGGTGGAACAGAGATACATGTGAAACGCTTGCACAACCGCATGTAAGAGCATTTATACATATAACTGCAAAATGTATACATTTTCAGTTCTATGTATTAGTTCAATTATATTAGATCACAGCTGAACATCAGCTCCATCACCAAGAAGCTCAGCAGAGGTTGTTCTTCCTGAGGCAGCTGAAGAAATTCAACCTGCCAAAGACGATGATGGTCCACTTCTACACGGCCATCATGGAGTCCATCCTCTGCTCCTCCATCACCGTCTGGTACGCTGCAGCCACAGCCAAGGACAAGGGCAGGCTGCAGCGTGTCCTCCGCTCTGCAGAGAGGCTGATCGGCTGCAATCTGCCGTCCCTGCAGGACTTGTTCGCTTCCAGGACCCTGAAGCAGCTAAAAAGATGGTAGCCGACCCCTCTCACCCCGGACAGAACGTGTTTGTGCCCCTTCCATCTGGCAGGAGGCTGAGGTCCATCAGGACTAAGACCTCCCGCCACACCAACAGTTTCTTCCCGTCGGCAGTCGGGCTCATCAACAGAGCCGGTCCCCCACTGCCTGACTATAACACTCCACCGGTCACTCCCCTTCATACTGCACATGTCACTTTACTGTCATTTCTCACTCGTCACTTTGTCACTTATTCGATGTGCACTTAATGCTTAATATTTTTAAACTTTTTTAATATTTTAAATTTTTAACTTTAACTTTATTCTCTTATTTTATACTAACCCATATCCTTATTCTACTTACCCATTGCATTAGCATTTCATTTTATTACTTGTGCACTGCTGTCTTGTTGTCTATTGTCACACTGTCTACTGTCACGCACCAACCGCCAAGACAAATTCCTTATATGTTTGACATATTTTGGTAATAAATGTTTCCTGATTCCTGATTCATGTCTGCTGTGTCCAATCACCTGCACCTCCCTGGTGCATTTAAACCATGTGTGTCCCTCGTCATCTGGTCGGTTCATTGTCTTTATGTTGGTGTCGTGTGACGGGGAGTTTTTTGATTGCTTGGAATTTTAGTCTCTGTTTGCCTGTAGGCTTTTTGAGTAGTTAAATATGTCTTTATTAAATACTTGTACTATCTTAGTTTGAGTTAGGTCAGGTGTCTTGCTCAGGGACACTTTGACATGGGACATGGAGAAGCCGGGGTTCGAACCGCCAACCTTGCGACTCCCGGCGGGTTCGGTCCATGCGCCACCATCACCCCATTTCGAAATTGACGTGAACTCTGAAGAGATCAAGATCAAACCAGTTTATTTGTGTCTCTGCAGAAGGAGGTCATTGAGGCGAAGACAAAGATCACTTTTGTCCTCCTCAGTGCTCCATGGAGTGTCCTCTGCTACTACGCTGAAGAGATCAGCCTTAGAGTTCCTCTGCAGGTAAACATTCAAGTTCCCTTGACCTAACCCGTCTCATGAGGTGGTGTCCTGATTATAACCCCTCCTAATCTGCGTGAAAAGAAAAACCCCTCTGCGGAAGAAGACAAGTTAGATCTGCCTTAACTATAAACCTGAACCAGCCCTAACTATAAACCTGAACCAGCCCTAACTATAAACCTGAACCAGCCCTAACTATAAACCTGAACCAGCCCTAACCATAAACCTGAACCAGCCCTAACCTAGCTAGCCCTGCTTAGTATGATGAATGTACTTATTTTAATTGACAGACTTATAATTTATACTTTAATACAGTTAAATCTGATGAAGGAGAGGAAGAAGGCGCCAGGGTTATAAACTTGAGCCAGCCCTAACTATAAGCATGTGTCCTCTGTCTTCTGTCCACCTGCAGGTATTCACCGCTCCGATCACTAACTGGTCCGCGCAGATCTTCTCCCGACTGTCCCTCCCTAACCTTCTGTCTCAGGATGTCCCCAACCCCCCACCTGACTTCTACACCTGTCAGTTCAGGAATAACAAGCTGCAGAGGTAAAAACCTCCAACAGACCAGAACAGCATGAGAAATAAATGAGACAAAAGATGCAAAACCTTGCCGCCTAAAATATTATACGTATGGTGCTAATATATGTGAAAGGTAAGAACCAAATCAGTAGATCTGGTCTCCACTCCCTGACTGAATCAACTCAACCAGCAACGCACAACCTTTATTGCTCTTATGCATTTATATGCTCAGAAAAAGGCTGTGTTGCTTACTGTGTTCATGTAAAAATTAACAAAAGAAAATTATGAAAAAATATATTTACCTACAAATTAGAGGCCTCTACTACTGAAAGGAGTTTAAAGGTGAGTGCAGATACTATAAAATAGTCTGTTCTCTGTCTGCAGGTTTCTGGGCAGCAACAACAAAAACACCTTCTTCAAGACGTCTCAAAGACACCAGGTGGTGAGTCTGTAGCAATTTCAATCTTGCATATAAGCAGGACTATGCAATTCTACCAATAAAGCCCATTTGAGACAAGAGCCAACATGGAGCCCCCAGAACAAACAAACCGCTCCAGTGATGGGATTCTGTGTGCTAGTTGGTTTAAACCTTATTGTATTTAGGGACATTTGAAGACGATCACAAACTGACACACAGCTCTGTGTGAGTGAGAAGGAGACGAGGCTGCTTTGCTTAATGTTTTACCGTCAGGGTGCAGATTAACTTGAGAGATTTGATACCAGAAAACCATCCGCCAGCCACCGAGTTCGGAGGCCCATTGAGAGCTGCAGTGGCCCCGAGGTCTCATCCTGGTGGGGCAGAATACCCGACGATGGCGAGGTCCTCACAGATGGCCGTGATTGGCTCAGATTACAGGATGTTTCAATCGGCAGACGGATGCTGTGAGTGGCGACGCCTCCTCCTCAAACAACGTCTGTAAACAGCAGGGATGCTTGTACGTGCACACCTTCAGCAGAGCAAACTAAACCGGCCAGAAGAACCCTGTCAGTGTTTGTTCTGCAGAACCAATAACTCACTTTAATGATGTGTAGAAAACATAACACAAATAACTGTTTTAATGAAGTATGTGTATCAATATTATAAATGTTGTTTTTTAGAACTCTATGTTGGACAAAAAGGTGATGTGTTATGTCCAAGTGGTCTGTTATTTCATTTGATTCATTGTATATTTTTTTTCCAAAAAACACAACATTAAGAAATGAATACATAAATAATTTAGTAATACTTATAGTACAAAAAGGTGACTTATCTATTCGAAATTGGCTTTAGATTCTATCCGACAGAAAGGACAAAAGATAAAGATTAGGGCTGTCAATAGAAAAAATTAAGTAATTGCAAATTTTCTAATTCATTAATCTCGTTTAATGGCGATTAATGAATGTTGTTGTTACAATGTTTGTTTTCCTTCTAAAGACTAAATTCTAAAAGTAATGACTTATCACCTTAGAAAGCATGTACATGTTGAACTAGCGACTCTTCCTGTTGTCCTCGTCCACTTTGCTGTCAACGCTCCATCATTTAACGGCTGTGTTTGAAGTGGCAACAATCTCCCACATTTAGCAGGACGTTTTCCAACCACGATCTTTCAGGGACACAGTGGTGGTCCTCTGCAGACTGTGTGCCGCGCGGGGTAACCTTAGATGTCGAGATGGAAGTAGCGTTATAAACTTGTCTCAGATCTGTGATATCAGCGAACACAGCCGTCATTTCGACTTTGTATTTTGCGGGGATCACGTTTACAACGTAGCTGGTAGTGACGTCAGCTGTTGAGGGGAGGCAGTGCCTACCTTAACTACCCTGACTGCACGTCACTGTCCTCTGCACAGTTCTCTGCTGTATGTCGCACCACTGTTTCCAAAAAGCTCTCTCCATCTTGATGTAACTGACTGCAGCGAGCGGCCGTCTCGCGGAAGTAAATAAACATTAAACTACTACGTTAAAATATTTTGTTGTAGTAACCTCAACCACATTAATCACATAGATTAATGCATTTATGTTGACATCTCTAATAAAGATGCAACATCAATATATCGTGGCGTTCCTCAGAGAAGCGTCCTCGATCTCCTGTGCTTTCATAAACTTGCACAGATTTAAAGGGCCAATCCGACATGGTAGACAGGAAGTGACATCAGGACTCCACCACAGGGGTTTGCGGCAGCGCTGGTTTTAGTCCGCTCAGTGTCTCTGCAGTGACCGTGTCCCTGCAGCTGTACGAGATCCTGGCCAGGACGGCGTACGGGTCGGTAAAGCGAGGGGAGGTGGGAATCGATCGACTGATAACGGAGCAGGTCTTCACTGCAGCCTATCCGCTGCACGAGGTGAGCTCATGACCCCGACCTTTAACCTTTGACACCAACTAACCCTCATCTTAACAAAGCTCCTTTGCCTAAAACCAACAAAAGCCGTTCCTCTATCTTTAACCCTAAAGACCCCTAAAACTTGCACAGTACAGCATGCGTTAGCATAAAAGTGCAGCACGCGTTAGCATAAAAGTACAGTATGAGGCTGAAAAAAGCACTAAAGAGGGAGACGTCTTGTGCGCTGGGTCTTTAAATCAGCGTCACTGACGTTGTGCCAGACAAGTAGATTCTGGCTTTAAAAGAATTCAGTTTTTTTTTGCATTTTTGAATCAAATATAATATATTTATTATTATATATTTGTGAATCTTTCTGTGTGCATTTGCGATTATTGAGACTGATCTGACCCCATGTCAGTGAGGATAAGCGCTGTCCACACTCTGTGTGCAGGGAGGTTTCCGGCTGCCGACGCCCCCCGTCTCTCCCCAGTCGCTAGTTCTAAGGGAGATCCTGTACTCCTACTGGGCCACGTGGTCCTCCTGGAGACACTACCAGCCTCTGGACCACATCAGGGAGTACTTTGGGGAGAAGATAGCGCTCTACTTCGCCTGGCTGGGTAACAATCAGCAGACGCATCGGCGACGGCCTCCGCTGACATGTCGGCTCAAACCGCGTCACCGTGTCTCACCGCAGGTTTCTACACCGGCTGGCTGCTGCCGGCGTCGCTGGTCGGCACCGTGGTCTTCTTGTTCGGGTTCTGGCTCATGGCCACTGACGTTCCGGCGTGAGTGTGAAGTTGTGTGCTCATTGTTGTCCCACAATGCATTGCAAATAAACCTCACCAAAACTTCTCTTTTCTGTTGACACTTTAATGTATTTGTAATATCTTTTTTTTTGCTTATATGCAACTTTTATCCACCAAATGAGACCCTCACACCCGTGTGTCCGTGTGCAGGAAGGAGTTGTGTGACAGCGGAAACAGCTTCACCATGTGTCCTCTCTGTAACATCTGCTCCCACTGGAACTACTCCAGCATCTGTGTCACCTTCAAGGTACCTGTCTGTTTCTTTGAGTGACAGGGGGGCGGGACTGCTTGTATCATCAACTGTATGAGTCTTTCGTGAAGCCTTTCTGTCACACTTTGGCTAAGGGAATTACCCACAATTCATGGCATCCCTGTCTGTCTCACTCGCTGTCTGTCTCACTGTCTGTCTCACTCTCTGTCTGGCTGTCTGTCTGACCCCTGTCTGTCTCACTCGCTGTCTGTCTGTCTGACCCCTGTCTGTCTCACTGTCTGTCTCACTCGCTGTCTGGCTGTCTGTCTGACCCCTGTCTGTCTGTCTCACTCTCTGTCTGTCTTACTCCCTGTCTGTCTCACCCTGCAGGCTGGCATCATGTTTGATAATGGGGGGACGGTGTTCTTCAGCGTCTTCATGTCTCTGTGGTCTGTCACCTTCCTGGAGTACTGGAAGAGGACCTGCTCGGTCCTGTCTCACCGCTGGGACTGCTCAGAGTTCCAGGACATCGAGGTACGTGTCTCACACTGGCGTCTCTCGTTAGAGTGTGTCTCTACTCACCAGAGTCCCTTGAGTAACCCTCTCATTCTACTACTGTGATGCTGCGTTCGCCCGACCAGTTGTAGATCATTCGCTTCATTCGTACCTGTAAGGGGGCGTGGCTTATCTCTGTCACTTGTGTCCGTAAGTTATAATAATTTCCACTATCCACCATGGAAATAAACGACCACTATTTATGCTCTTTATTTGTTGTGTGAACTACACAAACGTCGGAACCGGTGTTGTGTTCGGGTTCATGACGTCATCCGTCGCCGCACACAGCTGGAATGTCACCGACTCCTCCAGGAAGTGCGTCGATGGCGAGCGGAGCATCTCAGCGCCGATTGGCTTTCGATAGACAGCGTTGAAAAATTCCAATCTTCCCATTTGGTGAAACGGCTCCTTTCGCTCTTACGCGTCTCCTTGTGCCGCCCGTTGAAAATGAGCTTCCTCCACAACCAGTCGCCTCTGTGCTTTGACTTTGCACGGAATCTACTGGCTTTGCTTTTGGTGTCTGCCCCCCTCAGTTCTGCTTCTGATTCTACAGAACCAAGACGTCTCCCTTCCCTCAGTGACGGGTTCACATAGAGGATCAGGACTAAACTGTGATCCCTCTGTCCCCTTTAGGAGAGACCTCGTCCGGAGTTCACTGCCATGGCTCCGATGACCATGAGGAACTCCGTGACGGGAGCAGAGGAACCTTACTTCCCTCACACGAAGCGCCTCAACAGGACAATGACTGGCTGCATGGTCATCATCCTCATGGTGGGCCTCCTGACCTCTGACCCTGAACAGTCGCGGTCACTGACCCAAAGACCTCCTTGGAGGGCAGTAACATGTTAGCTCATTAACCTTCCTGTGTACAGGTCATCATGGTGCTGATGTTCCTCATGGCCGTCATCCTGTATCGCACCATAGTCACCGTCATCATCTACGAGTCCGGCAGCTTCTTAACGGGCTCTGTGAGTACAACCGTGTGTCTGACAGACTATGGCAACAAACGTTTCCTCATTCCTGATCCTGAACCTGCCTCCGGAAGGGCTAACAGGGCTAACGGGGCTAACAGGGCTAACAGTGCTAACAGTGCTAACAGTGCAGGGCATTGAATGCACAATTCTGTACACATATTTTTGTCATTTAGTTGTGAGATGAAATATGAATGATCTGAATATGAAATAGAGAACCTTTGTGTACACATGTGTCTTGTTGATGTGTGTTTTTGTGTGTGTGCGTATGTGTGTCTACAGGCTGGGAGGGTAGCCAGTATCTCAGGATCCGTGTTGAACCTGTTGGTCATCCTCATGTTGTCCAAGGTTTACACTTCACTGGCTCGCCTACTCACCCGATGGGGTGAGTCTCACCTCCTGTCTCACCCTCATCTTCTTTGGTCCCTCACCTTCTGTCTCACCCTCCTCTTCCTCAGTGTCTCAGCAACAAAGAGTTTAAATGTTTCTGCCCAAACCTTCCGTGAAGGTAGAGGAGGAGCGGAGGTTAAGACCAGCGGCGCTGCTGCAGAGGTCGGGTGGCGCTGGCTTGTAGACCTGAGGTGTTACAACAACCAAGGCGGGAGACGACCAGAACCTGTTGAGTGTCACACAGAGGATCCCAGCAGTCAGGGTTGGAACAGCGTTTTCAGATGTTGCGGTCAGGCCGTTGGTGGTCTTGTGAAGGTTAATCTTCAGGTGGTGTGCGGTCATCTACTGAGATTCCTGCTGCTACCGGTGTCTCACATTAGGGAGTGGACAGGATTAGTTGGGTGTCATCAGCATAGCGATGGCATGTGTGCGGATGCCGAGACAGTTGGTGTGCAGAGAGGAGGTGTAGCGGCGTTCCTTTGGTGATGTTCATTACTAAGCCGCAATTGAGCTGCAGACGCAGCGATTTCATTTCCTTAACGCAAATGACAGGAGATCTTTCAACCCGTTTGATGTTTATTGCACACAGCAAAAGCGTTAATACTAATTAAACTAAATACACAAAAAGCACATTCTGTCACACGGTAGAAAAACTGCCCTCTATTGCCTAATGCAGCTCTTCTCATCATGACGTGAATATATCGATAAAAAAGGGAGTGTCATTCTAACAAATACGACTCAATATGTGACACATATTTTCAGGTCGAGCCCAACGAGGACAAATCAAAAAACAAATGATCGACATTCCCAAAACTCCAATTAAACAATATACAGCCTTCTGGCTCTTACACGAGGGGGCTCAGAACGGAGCCTCGGGGCACCCAGGGGTGAGAGGCCCAGGATCACACACAGAACCTCTCCCAGATGAAGACTCAGCTGTTGTTTCTGTTGCTTTTTCTGTCAGAGATGCATCGGACTCAGTCGAAATACGAAGACATGTTCATCCTCAAAGTTTTCGTCTTCCAGTTTGTGAACTTCTACTCGTCTCCGGTCTACATCGCCTTCTTCAAAGGCAGGTGAGAGGCACCGTGAGCAATCGGAGCTCCAGAGCTCCTTTTACCTTCATCCCCGATGATTCTTCTTCTCTACTGAGAACATGATTGTAATGTATTGAGACGTTTCTAGTTGTTATTTGTTTGTTGTCTTCAGGTTCATCGGTTACCCGAGAAACTACAAAACTCTGTTTGGAGTTCGTAACGAAGACGTGAGTCTGTTAAACTGATGATGATGCAGCTGAGGAGGAAGAGGAGGGGGAGGGGGATGATGATGATGGTGAAACTTGTGCATCAATGTACTGCTCGAGGGCACTTTGCTGAGAGCTGGGAATTGAACCAGAAAACGAGTGGTACCTTTAACCACGGGGTCGGCAGTTCAATGCCGGCCTCCTCCTGTATGCTCGTCCTTGTGTCCTCTAGTGAGAACAGCTGCTCCACCTCACAGACGATTAACGTACTGATACCTGTGCTCCTGTGTCACAGTGTGGAGCCGGAGGTTGTCTCATTGAACTGGCCCAAGAGCTGCTGGTCATCATGGTGGGAAAGCAGCTGATCAACAACGCCCAGGAGTTCATCTGGCCGTAAGAACATGAGGAGAGCAGATGAGAGGAGAGTAGAAGACTTGGTTTGGTTTCCAAATTCCTGGAGAAACCCAGATCCCTGCCACATTTTCATTTTAACATCAGGAAAATAAAACAAATAAATAAAAACAAGTCAGGTGAGCACAGAACATTAATCATCACCCCACTGTGGCACATAGTCTTTTAGTATTTGTAGTCTACCCTTAGTCTGGACTTCAGACGCTCTGCACGTTAACCAAATGGCCAAATTAGCAGTCCCAGAACGATAGTTCACCAACGAGTGGACCCTTTTCCTCTTTGGCGAGTTCTTGGCTGTGTCTCAAAGTCGCTAGGCTGCATCCTTGTAGCCTCCAGCCTCCAGCAGCCTTCTGGTCTACCTGGGCTGGTCCTCCATCAACCGCATAGGCTGAACCGAGTGGTCTCTGACATGGGACGGTCTGTCCTACGGGGGAACTTCCTGCCTGCGTCATCAGCTTTACCTTTTAGGATTTGGGAAGATATGCTTCTCCTCCGGAGCATGAGAGATTTCAGGCTGAGAGAAGAATTTATTTTTATATTCAAATGAAACCAGTTAGGCTGTTTACTTTATAAAACCGCCTCAGCGTCAGTCAGCCTCTAAAGTGTGAACGTCATTAAAGTGACTTTTCACTAATAACTGCAGACGAGCTGCTCCTTGTGTGTGTTATAAATGTGTGTAGTACATTGATGTTCATAAGAACAGCACATGGACCCGGGGGCTCAGGGGCCGTATGGGGGGCAACAGGACACAGTTAACGTCATCACTAAGAGCAGTTTGTTCTAAAGTCTGCGTCCCTCGACCACATTCGGAGGACGACAACGGATTGGGACAGTCGAGTCGCAGCGGAAGTGACGTATGCGGTGGACAAATGCGTCCTTATGGATGCAGCCTAGTGACTTGGAGACACAACTAGTCCAAACAAAACCCTGAAGAGAAACAACCTCCCCAAGACCTTGAAACCACATCTTTAACAGAGAAAGAGTGCAGACAGACGTGGACAATGAACATAAAGATGTTCAAGTGGGAACAAGTTCAGGATCCAGTTGTGCTTTGTATCTGTTGGTAGCTGTTGCATTGGGTGACAAAGAACAAAGGTTCCTCAAGCCGCCACCTCCCGGGAACATCGAGTATGGCCCATGTGGTGCCAAGCAACCACTGTGCTGGAAGTACAGCGCTGTAAAAAGGTCCAGTGAGGTCCACATTCTCCAGGTGCAGGAGGAAGAATGGGTCCGTGTTCCCCCTCATCAACAGGCAGATGCAGCAGTACCGTCCTGACCCACTCCTTCCCAGACCAGAAGGAGACCACAATTTCCCGGCCAAAGAGTTGAGGCGATTAAGTTAAGGGCAATCAGAACTCTTGACAACTGGGGTATGAAAAACGTGATCGAAATTGGAAGTCCGGTTGAGGTTATTCTGTACAGCCAAACAACTTCTCTCGCTCTGGTAGATTCATTTGTCAGATCAAGTATCAGCGCTTGTCTACAAAACCAGGAGCAGTTCTGTCGGCCCGCAGGCCAGAAGAACAACTGGCCAACATCAGGAAGAACATTCCATTTTGTACTTGTTGTTTGATATAGAAGATTTCTAAACTGCCGTCGAGGAGGAGCAGGTCCTCCCGCCGCAACACCGATCCAATCACATACAATGTGTGGTCTCTGACATTAATGTGACCCCAACGAACAAAGCGTGAGTGTTGTGTGGTGCTTTGTGTGTCTCTAACTCTCGTTATCAGACCTGCGTCTGCCTGGTTGGCTCTGTCTGCTTCTCCTCCGACCTTACACTCCTCAACACAGTGACTCCCTAAATGAGCACTAAGAGCTTTAGATCGTCAGGTAGCGACGCTTCCATTTAGACAAGCGAGTGCACACTCTCCTCCATCCCCTCCCAGTTCGAAAGCCCTTTGTGCCCAAAATCACTCAAAGGACTTTTAGAAGAGTCCTAACTAGATTAGTCAGTTTAGTGTAAACGCTAATTAGATCGATGTGACTTCATCTCCATCCAAAGAACGTTGGACCTGTACTGATGGCTCACTATCTGACAGGAAATTGAGGTGCTGGTGGCAGAAGAGGAAGTCAAGTCATTGGCCGAAACAAGCGAGGGAGAAGGGAGGAGATGAGGAGAGAACAGAGGTCCAGGAGGAGGAGGTTTTTCCCTGGGAGACGGACTATCAGCTGCTGGGCTGTGAAGGCCTCTTCAGTGAATACCTGGAGATGGGTGAGTCACGTTCCGTTGGATTTATCCTCCAGGGAAAGCAGTGTTTAACGTGGAGGTCTGCCTCTCCCTCCTCCTCCACCTCCTCCTCTTTCTCCTCAGTGATCCAGTTTGGGTTCATCACCATCTTCGTGGCAGCCTGTCCTCTGGCGCCTCTCTTTGCGCTCATCAACAACTGGGTGGAGATCCGCCTGGACGCTCAGAAGTTTGTGACGGAGTATCGGCGGCCAGTGGGCGAGCGGGCTCAGGACATCGGCATCTGGTTCCCAATCCTGCAGGTCATCGCCCACGTGGCCGTGCTCAGCAATGTGAGATTGATTTGAGGGTCAATCAGCAGCCAATCGAGTTTGACCTTCTCCATCAGCAGCAAATATGATCTAACCTTCTTGAACTGCTGTCTTTAGGCGTTCCTCATTGCATTTACATCCTCCTTCCTGCCGCGTCTATACTACGCCTACACCAGAGACCGCACACTTACCGGGTTCATCAACTTCACCCTGGCAACGGCCCCACGCAACTACAACCAGCAACACACACCCTGCAGGTAGGCAACGGCCCCACACAACTACAACCAGCAACACACACCCTGCAGGTAGGCAACGGCCCCACGCAACTACACACAGCAACACACACCCTGCAGGTAGGCAACGGCCCCACGCAACTACACACAGCAACACACACCCTGCAGGTAGGCAACGACCCCACGCAACTACACACAGCAACACACACCCTGCAGGTAGGCAACAACCCCACGCAACTACACACAGCAACACACATCCTGCAGATAGGCAACGGCCCCACGCAACTACACACAGCAACACACACTCTGCAGGTAGGCAACGACCCTACGCAACTACACACAGCAACACACACCCTGCATGTAGAGAACAACCCCCACGCAACTACACACAGCAACACACACCCTGCAGGTAGACAACGGCCCCACGCAACTACAACCAGCAACACACACCCTGCAGGTAGGCAACAACCCCACGCAACTACAACCAGCAATACACACCCTGCAGGTAGGCAACAACCCCACCCAACTACACACAACAACACACACCCTGCAGGTAGACAACGGCCCCACGCAACTACAACCAGCAACACACACCCTGCAGGTAGGCAACAACTCCACGCAACTACAACCAGCAACACACACCCTGCAGGTAGGCAATAACCCCTCTCATCTACTAACAGCAACACATATCCTGCATGTAGATAATAACCCTACGTATCTACTAACAGCAACACACACTCTGTAGGTAGATAATAACTCCTCTCTATTACTTCCAGCAACACA